TTTTTTTTTGAGTAATTTTGAGGAGGCACTCTTATATTGACTTGATTTATTTAAGTAAATTAAGTATTAAGTCAACACTTCTATTTTGAAATTAACTTACAAAATGTTTTTTACTTATTATTTTTTTTACTAATAATATTTAGTTACTAATGAATCCAACTCTTGATTAATGTTATTAGCCTTTAAACAGGCATCTTGTTTTCTACTTTTTATTTTTATTATTCCTTTTATTAGCTCTTGGCAAGAACTTTGACACTTATGAATTATGATGATGGTCCAGTGATTTCCAAGGCCCAATTTCGCTGTTGAAACAAATGCCCAGCTCAGGGGCGTTCGTGGATCGGACAAACATGATCCATCTATGGGCAAATCTGAAAAATTCTTCCACTTAATGACTTAAGGCAGTCAGTGTTTCAATGTAAGTGAATGCAGTAAGGCCCCTTAAAAACAATTAATAATGATATTTAACAAAGCAATACTTTTTTCACTAATTATTAGATCCTGCATAGTGAGAATTAACCAATCAAGAATTATTGTTCATTCATCAGTAAAAGAAGAGAGTTAACCGTATGAATTTAGAAGAAAATGTTGTAATGTAGTTGAATAAATAAAAAATTGAACTCAAACTTGATTATTTATCAAGTTGAATAAATTATAAATTGAACTCGAACTCGATTATTTATTGGGCTGAAATTAAATTCAGGTTTTAATCCAACTCACAAGTTGCTAGATTCATTTACAGTTGTTAATTTTTTTTATGCATGTTCTATTTTATCCTAGAAAAATCGGTACAAAAGAAAAGGATCTACCAAACCCCCACGCTTGCTCAAAAAAATGGGCAGGTGGGCAGTACATTGATCGGAGTCGAGGAGATGATACGTTGGCTGTATGGAGCACCAGGTTTGACTAATGAACAATTGAACACGATTAGTTTAATCAATATTGTTGAAGGAATGCAGAAATCTTACTTGTTCTTGAATTGAATTTACAGGAATAGGGATATTGAGAACAAGGACATAGTGCTGTGGTACACAATGGGCTTCCATCATGTTCCTTGTCAGGAAGATTTTCCGGTAGATGCCTACTTTGAGCGGCGGATTTGAGCTCCGACCCACCAATTTCTTTGAGTACAATCCTGTGCTTAAAACCAAGCCTCCAGTACATGCTACTTGGCCTACTAATTGCACCAAATGATTTTGTGAGTTTTACTGCTACTAGAGAAGAATGTTTCTGAATAAGAATCCCTTACGTTTTTATGTTTTTTTTTTTTTTTCAAATGATATAATGTCGTATACGTGTGAGCAATAAGCATTCTTGTGTACAGTCCTGTATATTCCGTTTGGATAATATATTTGTCTTAGCTGATCAAAACAAAAAAAGGGTCTCTGTCTCCCATTTCTCAGTATTAGCATTTTGGGTTGTTCATTTGTACCGCACTGGATCTCAGAATTGGATAAAGTTACATTAGTCAAGTTTGATGACCAAGGAAAGTTGATTGAAGATCTTAATGTTGGTGATCTTCCACATTGCTGCATTGCAATTACATATGTATGGTTACTCACGTCATGGATATACTACCAATGGACTGATTTGTTACCACATCATGCATTTTTGTCTAACACTTTACCATAAAGATGTGAAGGAAAGTTACAGTCTTTAAAAGATACATTTGTTCTTAAGTGAAAAAACTACGAAGTTGTTTCTGTGTTCTCAGCCTGTAGAACATGCTGGGTGGATTCTTGTGTTCCTGCAAAGTAAAGGATTGCTTTCAAAGAAATTCGCAGGCCGAAGCTCAAATCCGCCATGAAGCCTTGGCATTACTGGAAAATCTTCTTGATATGGGATGTGATGGAACCCAACGGTGTACCAAAGAACTATGTCTCTGTTTTCTATCACTCTGTTCCTGCAAAATAGTGGAGAAAAGACATTGGAGAACTCTTATAAGTCATAGTTGAGGGGTTTAATTGGTGAAAAAAAATTGTCTGAAGACTTAATTGAGAAAGTCTTTAAAACATGACAACTAAAATAAGGGATTTTTTTATCAACGACCTAAATAATTTAATTATAATATTTTTTTGTTGAAAATAAAAGATTATAAATTTAAATTACATAACATATAGGTGGGGTGAAATAAGAAATAAGAGATAATTACTTTTCATTGTATAATCAAAATAAAAAAAAATAAAATAAGGATTTTCTCGTAAATTAATAATATTACAGATAAAATGTTATCTAAAATTATAGATTTATAATTATTATATATTGTTAAATTAATACAAGGTATTACTATATATTTATAATATTAAAAATAAATTAAGAAGAATTAATTATATAATAATATTGTAAATTTAAAATATAATATTAATATTTATCAATTAAATCTATACAAAATTAAGTAAAATTTTTTTTAAAAATAACGTCATTTTAGTAAAATATTATAAAAAAACTAAAACATCTTCATATTTTAAAAATAATTAAGATAATTTAATTTTTTAAATAAAATTTTATTAAAATAATTTAATTTTAAGATTTTTTATTTCATTTTTTAATACAAATTGATATTTAGTTTTTTGATAAAATATTACGTGGTATTATATTTATTACCTCTTGCTCCAAACGGCCAAGCCATCATCTCCTCGACTCCGGTCGGCATAAAACCCGCCGGCCCACCTCTCCGACTTGTCATAGGCCGTCACCCAAACTTGGTACCTAGTATAAGCTGTCCTAATCTGAGGATAATCGTCATCGGACAACAGGGAACTAACCGGCTGCCCTGTAATAAGCCGATAACCAACTTGATTCCCCAGCTTCGTCTTCTTATTTGGATTCACAACCAGAAGGTCGGCTGGCTCCAAGCCAAGCCGAACCTTAGCCTCGGCTTCCCTTTTGGCGGTCGTCGGAACGACCTTCCAGTAACTTTTTCTCGGCGAGGCGTGAACGTCCGTTACTCTTGCCGTTTGCATCTTGGCTTGCACAAAGGAGTTGCCGTTACCGTCGATGTCGAGATCCAGGTAATAAGTGAGGAAATGGTCATGATTAACGGCGACGGTGTTATCTGCCACTAAGGTGCCGTAAACGTTTTCCGTTATCTGGTCGTTATTTGTGTATGACGTGCCCTTCATTGCCAAAATACCTGTCAGACCCACCTACAAAGCAAAAACTACTGACATTTATAATAAAAAAAATTACGGTATGCTTTAGATTACATAATAATTAGAATTTTTCTAAGTTGTATTATAATGGTATAGATTAAGAATTAAAAAATAATAAAAAATAATATTTAATTTATTAATTATTTAATTAAATTTATTCATGTGATATTAATTTTAAAATTAATTTTACCTTATGTTTTCGTATATAAATTTATTTTAAAAAAATACCTTTAACTTGTGTTTTTAAGACACAAATTAAATTATTTTGATATTAAATTTTTTTTATTTAGTTATTCATGATTTGCAATGTAAACAGTAAAATAGCAAGCTCTTGTGATTATTTAAATAAAAACTAAATTAAGAAAACTTTTTCTCAAAGAATATTGGATTTATACAAACAACCTGTACGTTGGAATAGAATGATTTTAATTGCTTTTTACTTCAGATTAATTAAGATTTAATATAATTTTTAGATATGAAACAGTTAATAAAAAAATGTTAGATTTATAATTTCATTTTTTTAAATTTAAATTCTTTTATATTAGGAGAATATTTATCTCAAACTTATTCAATATTCTCTATACTAGTGACACTATAAAATTCATTTTTCAATAGAACATTAGAATCTAGACAAATACCAATGTTTTATTGTCAAAAAAAACTCTTGAATCTTACCCCAACTTTAATGGAACCACTCTTCTTGAATTCCCAATCAAGAACATAGTCATAGTTTCCCACAGTGGCTACCATTCTAACTACCAAAGTTGTTTCTGGTTCCCCACTCTTTATCTGCAAAATAAGCCAATTCACATCAAGATAACAAGATGTTTCCTTTACTAATTTGTGATCAAACACTGGCATACCACTTACAATTTTTCCAGGAACATTAATTTCAGTATGTCTCCATGCAACATTGCCAGTATACCTTTGGAAAATGCAAATCACCTTGGGCATTTTCTGTGCCTGCCCATCTGCCCCAGCCACATACCCATCCATGTACACTGCATTGTCTGGGCAATCTATCAGTGGCTGTAGGGTGTCAGCAGCTCTTCCGAACCCATATTCGCCTATGTCCATGAATGTCTTAAAATACCATTCTCTGGTAGGATCCATATATGGAACAAATGTCTCAGAAACATGACCCCTGTATAGTACACTCCTGAACTTGCTTTCCTTTGCATCAAAAATTGAAGCTGTTGATATTATAATTCCAGCTCGAGCATCGAATCCCACATGGAATCTCCAGTTTTCCCATTCTACAATGTGTCCTTCAATTCTGAATCCATTGTCCGTCACATTACAAGTGACTGATGTAGTCTTGTTGTCTGGTGATCGAAAATCAGTTCCCTCGGCCTTAGGCAAAGGGACCCTAAATCTATCCATATACATGGTGATTTGCATTGTGTCAACGTCAACAAGCATGCTGATTCCTTCAATGGGCCTTGCAAAGACATTAACAGCGCCCCCTCGATAGAAGCATGTAACTTTAAGGGCTCTACGTGTGATAATTTCTCCATACCAACCAACTGTGACGGGTATGCAAGAAACTTCAGACAAGTTTAAGCCCCTACTTAGAATTGACTCCTTGAATTTTGGATAATTCAAAGGCAATTTGCTAGCTTTGAAAAGTTCAATGAAAGTGAGAGGAGGGTACCCGTGACCAGTGTAGATACAATCTGATATGATTGAACTTGAGGCCAAGTCTACAATGAGTTCATGAGTCGCGAATCCAGCTCGAACAACCACCTTAGCTCTCCGTGGAAGAACAGGACTACTCTGCTTGTTTGAGGATAGCCAAGCGAGAACGTCTGTTTTCTCTGGCTCATCAAGATCCACAAAGTGGAAAGTAAGGTTAGGAAGAGTACCAAGTCTAGACTTCTCAACTATGTTTTTTATCCGGTTAATTTCAGAAGGGTTTAGGGGATCTAAGGGATGATCAAAGCTAGCAATGAGGCAGCATTGCAGGAAAAAAGCCAGAACTAGCCATGGAGTAGACATCGACACTACATCAACTACTAACACTTTGCCTCATGACAACTCACCGTTTTGCTTATATAACAAAAGAGAATTCAATATTTAATAGCATGATGCCTGAATCTTACTCTTTCCTATTTGCATTCTTTCCATTTTAGTGTTCAAATGAACAATCTGTAAGCCTTCCATTCTAAGTAAAGTACAGAGCATGGTTCATTTTCTAGAAGTCCTTTCCTTGGGATAAGAGCAAAAAATTATTAACTTGCTTTGCCTTCTATTGATATGAAACAAGGAGCATGTACACGAAGTAATGACTTGTAGTGTTCTTTAAGTACAATCCATCTAAATCCTAAAAGAAAAAAAAAAAGCAATGAATAATGTGGATCAATTAAGACACCTTGTCAACTTTAGGTAGCTTCACTCTGAGCATTGAATTGTTGTCAAAGAAATTTGCTGCTTAATGTTGGCATTACCAAAAAATCTCTTATGTGTACTTGCTCTCTATTCCCCTATTCCTGCATTAGATAACTAAAGTTAAAGTAATATATGTTACATGTACAACTCATAAATCAAGAGTTTGACATAAGTTCATTAACATTTATTACCGAGTGAAAAAGCCCAAGTAACAAAGATACTATTAATGTATACCTGATAAAGTATCCATACCTGCAAGTTACAAAAAAAGTATCCATACATGCAGGGATGAGTTTGTCATCTTTTTGGCCTTGATCAGCACACGATACTCCCCCTGCCAATTTTTTCAAGTCAAGGCTGGAGCTCACTTCCAGTTTGATTCTTATCAAGCTTAGGCCGAACTTAAAATATCTTGAGCCCAAACTATTCATTCAAGGCTAGGTTTGTGGGCATTCCTACTCATGTACAAAAAATCCGGGCCTTCTCTATCCGATGAGACATTATAAACCTAAGCAATTACTGTGGGGTATAGTAGCCCTTAAAAGACTGATTTTTTTTTTTTTCTAAACAAAGAGAAATATGAAGATGGAGAAAAATAAGGAAAAAAAAAAAAAAGAGAATAAATAAGTTTAAGGGGAAAAACCCAAAAAAAAATAAAATATATTTTTTTAAATTGGAAAAACAAAAGCCAAACTCCCCAAAACTTGAATTTTACCCACATAATTCCTAGGAATGGAATAGAATATTACCTCCACTTTAAAATATAGGTTAAACTACCAATTTGATCCATTAACTTTTAAATTTGAACTGAAATTGTTTACAAGATTTAAAAAATACTAAAACTATCCCTAAACTTTAATTTTTGGAACCAAAATAATTCTTTCATTAATGAAAGTGCCATGTGACTTGTTATCTTACCATAAAATCAATTTTTTAAAATATTAATGGCATGTAAAATCAAACAGTCATATTTTATTATTGTGACATATTTTTATTTATATATTAGATTGACATGCATTTAAAGTTAAATAACTAAATTGGTACTTTTAATCAAAGTTTAAAGACCAAGTTGGTACTTATCTTCAAAGTTCAAGAACTTAGTTGGCATTGAATTAAAGTTCAGAAACTATTTTAATACTAAAAATTAGAGTTTTAAGATAATTTTAATCTTTTTTAAAGTTTAAGAACAATTTTAATGTAAATTTAAAAATTGAGGGACTAAACTAATATTTTAACTTAAAATATAAGTAGTTTGATTTTTTACAAGTAATTTTAAATAAAATTTTTTGTAAAATATAAATGATAATTAAAAATATTTTTACTAAATAAAACTACTCATGAACCACTTATAGAAAATAAAAATTTAATTATTCTTTATCTACCATAAAAAAAATATTATCTAAAACTACTTTCAGAAAAGTCAATCGAACTTATGGTTTAGGAAGAGAGGGAGTAACATTTTAAGATCGCCTTAAGTCCTGCCAGAGATCCACTTGCAACAATTAAGAGGATGAGGATCAAATTGAGCACTTTTGAAACTCTCGAAGGAACTGCCTCCCTCTAGGAAACTCTAGAACACGGGAGCACCTCTGTATTAAAGTCGAAGTCAGTCGTCCCAAGCTCAAGTGTTCTCGCGTCTTCTCATCTCTGCTCATCGCCTGTCTCAAGCATTTTTGATTTGCTCTAACAGGTGCGTGTATCTCTGAAATCTTTTCTCCCTCATATAAGCATGAACTCCATTTCTTACTTTGTTTCTCTTTATATCTTGCTTGAAATTGTAATGCCCGTTTGCCTTTTCTTTCCATTTGAACTAGTTCCCATGAAGTTAATCAACATTTCTTGAACTGGGTTTGCGTAGTTTTCATGTTTCTGATTGATCACCACGTAATTTGTGAATCTATTATAATCAACCCCTGATAACCTTTCTAATTATACTGAAAATTATTTCAGTTTCTTTACCAATCACCTTTTATTGAAGTTCTGGTAAATCACTGTGTGGTTTTTATGTATTTTGTCTCTTTCTCTTGTTAATAGTAATGTCTAAGTGATGAATTTAACCTGTGAAATTTCCTGCTGGTGTGGATGACAGTTTCTTGCTACAAAGAATTAAGAATGACATTTCATCTTGTGTACTACAAGCATAAATGGAGCCTTTCTGCTTAATTTTGAGGGTTAAAATGATGCGCTTGAGGTGTTTGTTAAATGTTACTACTGTCTAATTAACTAAGGTATATTGCAAGGGATTTGGGTTCTTAGATGGGTTTGGATGGTTTCTTCACTGAATATGACTATGGACTGTGTCGAGGTATAGTTGTTATCTTTACTAGATTCTACACAAAATCTGTCATATCTAATGAGGAAAAGGTCAAGCTGCTGTAATGCTTCCTTTTAATTGGTTCTGGTAAGGTGCTAACACATTATGCCCTCAGGGCAGGACAATAAGTTGTTTGGTTCCACTCCAGATGACATTTATGTTTTTAGAACGACAAAACTTCTCCCATCCAGATTTCTCTTTTTGTATTGGATATTCAATTTTAAGTGAGAAGTCAACTTGGGACAACATAAATTGTTTAGTTTTGTGTAACCCTGATTTTTGTCTTTCAATCATCCTTGTTTCATTTCAGTACATTCAACAGTTAAATTCTCTTTTTCCTAGATTGAGAATTAACAGATCCATGTCCTAAATATCTCTGAAACTGTCAAAATGCAGGAATGGCTGAACCAGCTTACACTGTGGCATCTGATGGTGAGACAACAGAGGAGGAAAAGTCTTCACCTGCATTTCCAGAAATTGCAATTGGAATTGACATTGGCACTTCACAATGCTGTGTTGCTGTCTGGAATGGCTCACAGGTGGAACTCCTTAAGAATACTAGGAACCAGAAGATGATGAGATCATATGTCACCTTCAAGAATGAAATTCCTTCAGGTGGTGTCAGCAATCAACTCTCCTATGAGCACGAAATGTTTTCTGGGGCTGCTATCTTTAACATGAAACGCCTGGTTGGCCGAGTTGACACTGACCCTGTTGTTCACGCAAGTAAAAGCCTTCCATTTTTGGTGCAGACTTTGGATATTGGTGTCCGCCCATTTATTGCAGCTTTAGTCAACAATGTTTGGAGATCCACCACTCCTGAAGAAGTTCTTGCAATATTTCTACTGGAACTAAGAGGAATGGCTGAAGCTCGGTTGAAGAGGCCCATAAGAAATGTTGTTTTAACTATTCCAGTTTCATTTAGTCGATTCCAGCTTACTCGAATTGAAAGAGCTTGTGCGATGGCTGGCCTTCATGTTCTTAGACTGATGCCAGAACCAACTGCAGTGGCATTACTATATGCACAGCAGCAGCAACAGGTTGTGCACGAGAATATGGGTAGTGGAAGTGAAAAGATTGCTCTCATTTTTAATATGGGTGCTGGATATTGTGATGTAGCTGTGACAGCAACTGCTGGTGGAGTTTCACAGATAAAAGCCTTGGCAGGAAGTGCTATTGGAGGTGAAGACATACTTCAGAACATGATGCAGCATCTCCTGCCAGAGTCAGAGAAACTTTTCTCATCCCATGGGATTAATGAGATCAAATCAATGGGTTTGCTTCGAGTTGCCACCCAGGATGCTATCCACAAACTCTCTTCTCAAAGCAGTATCCAAATTGATGTTGATTTGGGTAATGGCTTGAAAATATGCAAGGTGATAGATCGAGAGGAATTTGAGGCAGTTAATTGCAAGATATTTGAAAAGTGTGAGAGCCTAATAATCCAATGCTTACATGATGCAAAGGTAGAGATTGATGATCTGACTGACGTGATACTTGTTGGTGGTTGTTCATATATACCAAAAATAAGAAACGTTCTTATGAGTGTCTGTGGAAGAGGGGAACTTTACAAAGGTATGAACCCATTGGAAGCAGCAGTATGCGGAGCAGCTCTTGAAGGAGCAGTGGCTTCTGGTGTCAGTGATCCATTTGGAAATTTGGACCTGTTAACCATTCAAGCCACTCCTCTTGCCGTTGGTATACAGGCTGATGGGAACAAGTTTGTGCCCATCATACCTAGAAACACCACCATGCCAGCTCGAAAAGAACTGGTCTTCACCACTGTTCATGATCATCAAATAGAGGCTCTGATCATTGTTTATGAAGGTGAAGGAGAGAAGGTGGAAGAGAATCATCTGCTAGGCTATTTCAAGATCATGGGAATTCCTCCAGCACCCAAAGGAGTTCCTGAGATAAATGTGTGCTTAGACATTGATGCATCAAATGTGCTGAGGGCTTTGGCTGGGGTCATAATGCCAGGATCTTCACATCCCGCTCTACCTCTTATGGAAGTGAGGATGCCAACAGTTGATGATGGCCATGGTTGGTGTGCTGAAGCTCTTCACAGAACTTATGGGTCTACTCTAGACTTGGTTACAGTGCAGAAGAAGACATAATGCAGACTGCTGAGACATTGGTGGAAACTTCCGGTACATGTTTAATGTAATGCTTTATGTCCTTTTGCTGGTTTTTCAACCCAAAGAGAGTCAAAATTCTGCTAGAGCACAGTTGCATATTGTGCTTTTATACTTGCATAAGTGTGAACTTGATGTAATAATGAAATAATGCATGTAACAGCTACCGAGTGTGTGTTGTCCTGCTTTTTGGACCGTTCATGTTAATAAAATCAAAGTTGTGTTGCATATACTTGTCTTCTACGCACGTCATCTGCTATGCAGCCTGAAGGGTAATCGTTCAAATGTACCCTTTTAAGGTTTTTTACATAGGACCCTAACCATATTTTTTAAGCCCAGCTGGTGGTCTGTCAATGAAAATGATATCCATAGGAAGTTTATGTCCCAAAGGATCCGCCATGAAATCAGCCACTTATTTACCCTCACAAACTGTGTGACGCATGGTATGGTACATGCCAAAAATTCAGCAATGAGCACCCAACTGCAAGGCTCAAAGAAGTCGTGGGCCAAGCCATGTCATTATGCTTGGGGGTTCTTACGGTAATATGAATCTTCACTCCCAGTCCAAGAGAGAGGGGTGGAGGAAAAATGAGGATTTGAACTCTGCTTATATAAATGATAAAGTGGTGTCTTTTCGTCAATAATTTTGTCAGTTATGCTAGGACTTTCCTCCTCAATCCAAGAACTAAGTTATTTTTTTCTCCCTTGAAAATTTAATAACCAGAGTATTCGACTAAAGATTCTACATCTTTCTAATTTTAGAAAGGATGGAAATGTTCAATATCATGAGCTTGTCCCTCTGCTTTTCTTAAAGACAGCAACAGAGCTCCGAACAAATCTCTGCAGTATAAAAAGGCTCATAATTTCTCTGTAAGTTTCTTGGTCCATCGCCTATGTTCATTTAAGATTATATAGTCTTTCCATTTTTAAAGCAAAAAGGTCAATATTCCTTTTTCTTCACATTG